AAGTTAGATCTGTGCAGCTGAGCTTGGTGGCTCACGCCTGAAATCTCAACATTTTGGGAGGCGGAGGCAGGCAGATCACCTGAGGTCAGGTATTCGAGACCAGCTTGACCATGTAGTGAAACACCGTCTCTACAAAAAAAATACAAAACTTAGCCATGGTGCCGGGCACCTGTAGTCCCAGCTACTCGGGAGGCTGAGACAGGAGAACTGCTTGAACCGGGAGGCGGAGGTTGCAGTGAGACCAAGATCGTGCCACTGTACTCCGGCCTGGGCGACAGAGTTAGACTCTGTCTCAAAGAAAAAAAAAGTCAGATCTGTCCTAGACGCTGAAAGGAATTAATCAGACAGGATCTCAGTCTTTTAAGAACTCTTTCAAATACAGAGAAGAGGTGATAACAAATAATTAGTATATAGTACTGTAAGTGAAAAATCAGAATTGTGTGCAAAGTATCGGGGTAACACAGAGATAGCAATTAATTCTGCCTGGAGAAACAGCAGTGAAGGTGACAACCTGATGAGGGCGGAAAGCAGAATTTCTAGAGGTTGAATTTCAGAAGCTTCCGGAACGAAAGTGATGCGGAAGTTGAGTGAGTCTCGGTCAGATATTGCTGCTGCACTTGGTCAAGGCCGTTCTGTTAGTGTTTCCAGACGCCCAGGGAACGCGGCTGCGGGGGCGGATCTTCGGTTTGCACAGCTAGAGGCCGCGCAGCTGCAAAGGATGAGCGGAACCTTGGAAAAGGTAACGTGGATTCCACGCACGCGGGGCGCGGGGAGATAGTGGAGAGTGCAGAGCCCGGAGCTGGCGGCAAGCTGACATCCGGGAGTGAGACACTAGGGCGCCCAACGTCCTTCCCAGCAGCACATGCGTGTTAAAGGGGCTGAGTAGATTCCTTTCCCACCGGGCGAACTCGGCCGAGCCGACCCGTGCCACGCCCACACCACATGCCACTCTCTCCACCCAGTGCCTAGAAAGGGGAGAGCTTCGCGATGGGAATCACGACACCATGGTATAGTCCCGATAAACTGTATGACCTTGAGCAGGTCATTTTATATTTGCATTTAGTCATCAGCTTCTAGAATTTTGTCTAAGAAAGCAGTTTTGACTTGCTGAACTGATAAGGATGTGAAGCTACCTGGTAATAAGGAAAGAGTAATAATAAGCTACATTTTCTTTTTTCTTTTTCTTTTTTTCTTTCTTTTCTTTTTTTTTTTTTTTTTTTTTTTTTTTTTTTTTTTTTTTTTTTTTTTTTTTTTTTTTTGAGATGGAGTCTGGCTCTTCGCCCAGGCTGTAGTGCAGTGGTGCGATCTTGGTTCACCACAACCTCCGTCTCCCCGGTTCAAGCGATTCCCCTGCCTCAGCCTCCCTGGTAGCTGGGACTACAGGTGCGTGCCACAACGCCTGGCTAATTTTTGTATTTTTAATAGAGATTGGTTTCACTGTGTTGGCCAGGCTGGTCTTGAACTGCTGACCTTGTGATCTGCCTGCCTCGACTTCCCAAAGTGCTGGGATTACAGGAGTGAGCCACCCGTGGCAATAATAAACTATGTTTTCATTTCCAAAAGCTTATTTTATTTAAATGATTGTCATAAAACCATATAAACCACCATAAATATGTTCCTTGGCTTTCCTCTTGTTCCCTTAACAGATTTAACAGATTTCATTTGTGCTCTTTCAATTGTATCATGCTGCTTAATGACTCATTTTAGCAATTTATATTAAAATTTTGTTTTAGGCATTAATTGTGGAGACTATATTTTCATGATTCATAGGTCAACATGGTTGTTGCAGCTCATGGATCTACCCGTGGTTACCTTGGGGCTGCCCCTGAATGTCTGAGAGCCCATGCCTCACTTCATCCTTTATGAAACAATTCACTTGTTCACCTTAGCCAGTTTGTAAGAATTCGGTTAAATATGATGCCAAGATAATAGAAAAAAAAATCAGAAAGTTTCAAAATTACATCGTTAAAGGTGGTCACACTGGTGACTACTCTCCTTGATTTGCCTTGGTTCTGAGAAATGCTAAAAGGGAGGGATTATTTTCCAAGGAATGCTATTTCAGACCATGCAATTCTCCAGAAGAGCCCATGGAAATCTGTCATTAAGGCCAGCATAAAGATACATGGGTATATAGGGCCTCTCAAAGTGTGATGCCAGTGTTCTCTTCCAGACTCCTTAGTTATTCCTTAGTTGCTTTAGTCAGCTAACCTCATCATTATATACCAAATGCAAGCCTGTCTTAAAGTGTTAGTGAATACTTTACATTTATTTATTTATTTATGAGATGGAGGAGTTTCACTCTTGGTGCCTGGAGTGCAGTGGCACAATCTCAGCTCACTGCAACCTCTGTGTCCCAGGTTCAAGCAATTCTCCTTCCTCAGCCTCCTGAGTAGCTGGGATTACAGGCGTGCGCCACCACACCCAGCTAATTTTGTATTTTTAGTAGAGACGGGGTTTCTTCATGTTGATCAGGCTGGTCTCGAATTCCCGACCTCAGGTGATCCTCCCTCCTTGGCCTCCCAAACTGCTGGGATTACAGGCGTGAGCCACCGCCTGGCCAATACTTTACATTTATAAGGAAGGCCTTGGGATTGTGTCAGACCTGAGTTCTATCTCTTGCTGTGATCTTGTAGGCAATTTATTTAACTTTACTGCTTTAGTTTCCTATCTGTAAAATGCAGATGGTCTCACCACATGGAATTGTACAGATTATAGAGGATAATGTAAATAGGAGTAGTTTGTAAGGTATGAAGGATGATGCAAATAAGAATATTGATATTATTCTGTAGTTAATAGAGTTTCATTTACATAATTCATTTGATCATCACAGTATCACAAGATAATCCTGGCATATGCAACAGACGAGGAAATGGAAGCGTTGTGTCTGGCGTGTAACAGAGATTTAAATGTCATACTGATGCCTTGAATGAATGACTGAAGCCTAGAGTTTTTGTTTTTGTTTAGAGACAGGGTCTTACTTCTCACCCAGGCTAGAGTGCAATGGTGCAATCATAGTTTACTAAATCCTTGAATTCCTAGGCTCAAGTGATCCTCTTCACTCAGCTTCATGAGTGGCCGGCACTACAGGTGCACACCACCATGCTCAGGTCATTTTTAAATTTTTGGTAGAGGTGGGGTCTTGCTTTGTAGCCCAGGCTGGTCTCAAACTCTTGGCTTCAAGCAATCCTCTCACCTTGGCCTCCCAAAGTGCTGGGATTATAGATATGAGCCACCACTCCTGGACGGAACCCAGATTAGTTGTACTTCTCCTAAGACCCCACTGCCTTTTCTTTTCTCTTTTTTGAGACAGAGTTTCACTTTGTTGCCCAGGCCGTAGTGCAGTAGCACAGTCCTGGTTCACTGTAGCCCCAATCTCCTGGGGTCAGGTGATTCTCCCACCTCAGCCTCCCAAGTTGCTAGGACTATAGGCACCTGCCTCTACGCCTGGCTAATATTTGTATTTTTTGTAGAGACAGGGTTTTACCATGTTGCCCAGGCTGATCTTGAACTCCTGAGCTCAAGCAATCTGCCTGTCTTGGCCTCTCAAAGTGCTGGGATTAGAGGCGTGTGCCACCATGCCTGGCCCACTGCTTTTTCTGAGTATTTCACATCTCCCTAATATAATAATATTCTTGGTTTTTCTCATCTGTGAAGTGTGGGATGAAAACCTTTCCTGGCTTTTCTATGTGTCAGACCTTTCCTTCTTGGTAACCCATACAGCCCATTATATTGATCTCACATAGGATAATAAATAATTTGCCATCTGCTTTCCTCATTAGAGAGTTTTATGGGTATGTCACTATATTTTCTTTTTTCTTTTCTTTTCTTTTTTTCTTTTTTTTGAGACAGATTCTTCCTCTGTCACCCAGGCTGGAGTGCAGTGGAACGATCTTGGCTCACTGTAGCCTCTGCCTCCCGGGTTCAAGCGATTCTTCTGCCTCAGCCTCCCAAGTAGCTGGGACTACAGCCATGCACCACCATGCCCAGCTAATTTTTGCATTTTTTAGTAGAGATGGGGTTTTACCATATTGGCCAGGCTGGTCTTGAATTCCTGACCTCATGATCTGCCTGCTTCGACCTCCCAAAGTGCTTGGATTACAGGTGTGAGCCGCTGTGCCCGGCCCTTTTTTCTTATTTTGCTTTGAGACAGGGTCTTGTGCTGTCACTCAGGCTGGAGTGCAGTGGAGTGATCTCAGTTCACTGCAACCTCTGCCTCCTGGCTCAAGGGATCCTCTCACCTCAGCCTCTTGAGTAGCTGGGACTACAGGTACGTGCCACCACACCTGGCTAAGTTTTTGTATTTTTTTGTAGAGATGGGGTTTTGCCATGTTGCCCAAGCTGGTCTCAAATTTCTGGGCTCAAGCAATCCACCCGCCTCGGCCTCCCAAAGTGCTAGGATTCAGGCATGAGTCATTGTGCCAGGTTGCAACTGTATTCTTGTCTATATGTACCTACCGTATAGTGTATTTGGCCTAAAGTAGGTACTTGGTAAATGTCAAATGAATAAGTGAATGAACAAATGTTGATATTACATGGTAAGCACATGGTGGAGTTGGGACTAGAACTTCTAGCTCTTAATTCAGTGCTCTTTCCTTGGGACCCTAAGAAATTTCTGGCTACAAATCTCAAATTTTATTTTATTTTTGAGACAGAGTGTCACTATGTTGCCCAGGCTGGTCTCGAACTTCTGGGCTCAAGTGATCCTGCTGCTTCAGCCTCCTGAGTTGCTGGGATATCAGACATGCCCTTTTGTGCCTACCTTCACCTCAAATTTTAGACAAGTGAGAAGCCTAGCTTTGCTAGAATAAAACTGGATAGAGCCAATACCTCTTTAAGTCAATAGGAGTTCAGCAGGGTAGAACCAGATAAGACACTAATGCTGATATTTATCAGATCAGTGTATTGACTGATCACAATAGCAGGACGGTATCTGGGGAAGTTAGAATGCACCAAGGAAATGAGTATTGAATCACCTGCAGTTATTTTGCACAGAAAATGAATGGCTCTGGAGTGTCAAGCTCAGGTCTAGATGCCACTCACTCTGAGGCTACCAATATTTTCTCAGGAATTTCCTTACTCCTGAATCACAAGGGTATGGTTAGGGAAGAGGCTGTGATGGCTAATGCTATGCCACATTGTGTCTAATATGTCAGCCCAGGAGAAAACATCCTGGGGGACTGATCTCAGAGATAAGATGTTTTCAGGTTTCAGCATTTGAAGGCTAAAGTGGAACAGAGTTCACATGAACAAAATGTCCTCGTAATTCATTCAACAGACATAAATTAGTATACACATACTCTAGATATTACCTAGAAGGGCAGGAAGTCCAAAAGCACAGAATAGTCAAGAAGTTGGCTATTTCCTGGTCACCACTAGACCACAGGCTCTGGAGGAACTTTTCTATTTTTTGTTAATGGTTTTATCTTTAGCGCCTCTCAAATCCTAAGGCACACATTGTTTCACAAATGAGGAATTTAACCATTACCACCACCATTATCATCGTTACCAATTTGACCGTTAGTAATGCAGCTTGTACTTCTTAGCTCTTTTCATATGTTATCTAATTTAATCATGTCAACAAGTCTATAAGGTAAATGTTTTTACAAACTCTTCAGAGATAAGGAGATGAGGTTTAGAGGGATTTATTAATTTGATCAGCAGATATTTATCGGGCACTTGTTCTGTGCCAGAGTGTATGTTATATGCTGTGATGCAGCAGGTTCCTGTCTTCATGGTGCT